GGGAGGCAATTATTGTTTGGAGGGAGAGTCCCCTCCAAAAGGACATTGGGGAGATCTCCTTCAGGGGTTTCCTCTCTTCTTTGCCTCTTAGCTGCAGGCTTATTTCTGGGGAAAAACCTGTCTAAAGTCAGTTGTTTTTTCCTGTGCTGCATAACCCTCCAGAAATGAGAGAACATGTTATTGTTCATCATCATTATTCTTGCCAAGCCTGCTCTGCATTTACTTTGGAGCCATGCTGACAAGCACACCAAAAACCTTCCAAAACATCACAAAACACACCACAAGCCTCACCAAACGTCTCCTTGCTACCGCGATCTCGCCCACAGGAAGCTGTGACCGCGTGGCAGCAGGGAAAATGGCTGCGGATCCGGTTCGTAACCCGAGGCGGAGTTCGCAACCCGAGGGAAATTTTTGCAGCCGGAGCTGGTCATAACCCAAAAAATTCGTTAACAGAGGCGTTCGTAACCCGAGGTACCACTGTATATGGCCAAAATTACAATGAATAAACTTTGCATACAGTGTTACCTTTTTTGTATGTCCACATGTATCTATTATCAACAGTGTCATAACAGCTGTATGTGATTCCTGCTATAAAAATGTATTTCTTACCATCCTCTAACAACTCTGATTGATGTTTCTTTTGAAAACACCCAGACGGTAGCATCTACCACATCATGATAAATTTCTTGTTTATTTGTGTTCCCATGAAAATCACAAATAAGCATCTGCAATGACATGCAATAGTGTAAAGCAAATCTGGTACATTCATTTTCTGTTCTTCTTATATCAATTATACAGTGTTTTTGGCACACAACATAAAACATATTTGTATGCCATGATCAATCATTAAACAAGGTTTCATTGAGTTAAAGCTCATGGGTCTAGCCCACCAGGCTAGCATGTCTAGACCTTAAATGAGACCACCACAAGAGGGCTATTCTAGAACCACCAATCTCCTTACTGCATTTCATGTTGTAGCAGATAACTATGTTAGTAATATCACAGGAGAATACAGACCACTTTTCCATATTCATTGTCACTCATGTATTCCTCACTTTCTACAAATGTTTATGACAAAGCAGGCAATACTTGAAACTTATTTTCTTATATAAAATCACACTCACTTTTCCTGGTCTTGGATTGCACTTGAGTCTGACCCTATCAACAGGGCACTATAATTAGAAAAAAGAACAAATAATTTGAATAATACAATAAGCCAAGAAGAGTTATTTTAAGCAGCATGTTTATAAAGCAAACCTTAACATTATTTTTAAATATACATCCATAGGTATGCCAACAAAACAGTTCTGAAAACCTTAAAGACAAAAGCTGAACTTGTAAAAGAATACATTTTGAGACTTCATTCAAAATTATCATCAGGGTATTCTGAGTCGGCTCTTACAGTTCCTATTACAGTAATAAAAGGCTGTGTACTTTTATTAATACTTTTCTCATATTATTCATCAGAAGATGATATAGGCCGTAATTTTTTAAGTAGATTTGGAAATGTGAGCATGCATGCTAATTTATCAAATATTATTGCAAGAAACAGAACTATACTCAGCCTTCTGATATAAAAAGAGATGGTAGCTCTTCAGCTATTAAGAATATTCACTCCTCTCACACTTATAATTCATTTATGACATGACTTTCCCTCATCTCCCACCTAAAGTCCCAAGAGAAAAAAATAGTAAAGGAAACAAGAATTTTTCAATTCAATTTATGCTAAAAGAAATGTGCTCTTTCATTTCATCTGCTTAGTATGCTGTAGACTACATTGAAAGAATATTATGTATCAAATTCTCACAATAAATTAAGCAGAATCAATAGATTCAGTATTTTTTCATATGGAAAATCTTCTATCTCCACAACACGTTTAGCCTAAACATGTATGTACAGAAGAAATGACATGCATAGATTAGGTTCCTACTATATATAAATTTAATGAAAAAAAATACCTTTTGAGAGGTTACTGATTTCAGCAACCTTTTAGATTTAGAGTGCAGATCAACTGGCAACATCATGCTTCCTTTTCCTTTTTCAACTAAATAAGTTAAGCCAGGCAAACGTTCATATGTATCCTTTAAAAAAGGCTTCATGCCAGGATCATATTTTTGATTAAAATGAGCTGCAAATATTGGACTAAAAGATGAGGTCTCTTCGGAATGTAATGCCTCCTTAGAAATAAATTGTCTAGAAAAGTCTTCTGGGAATTTAGTGTTTTTATTGTCTGGCCAGGTACTGGAATCAGAGGTTTCTTTTTCATCCTCTTGATTTCTTCCCTCATAAAGTTTTTCTTCATCATCTTCTTCATTATACTGATTACTAGACTTTAACCGTTCAGATACTGATTGCAAAAGTGATAAGACAGATAAGGATTGATTCTCTCTTGTTTTTTCACTAGGATGATTTCCTGGTGAGATATCAGTGGAAGGCAAATCCTCTTGGGAACTATCATCTTCATATATAGGAGATAAGGAAAAAGGGTAAATCCTGTATCTCTTTGCTTCCACGGTCATGAAAGATTCTGAACAAGTATCATCTAGCATCTTATTCAATTGCTTGCTTTCATCATAAGGAGGAAAGGGCTCATCTTTGACTCTGGCTGTTTCATACATCTTATGCTTATTATCCAAGGATAAATCAGGATGGGATAAGGTATGCATTATTTCTTCTCCTGAAAAAGAATAATTTTTTTCTTGAAGAGTATCTTGATACAAAACAGTAAAGGAAGAACTGTATTCCCACTGTTCTGGTGTAGAAAAAGCAAAACAATCTGGGGATTTCTCTGTATTTTCACTGTCAACATCCAGGTAATATTCCTTAAGTACATTATCTGTAGTTAAACATGGGTCACTGTTTACTACTTCTCCATGGACAAAGCCAATATTCGATGAGCTGTTCAACAGAGATGATTCAGATATACTAAAAAGGGCATTGAATCTAGTATCTTGTGGCACTATACATTCATTTCTAATTTTGCTACTGCCCCATTCACTATGTGTTTCATAATATTTTTCATGTGGTTCCTCTCTTACAATGGCAGCAGCTTTGCTTTGTCTTATCTCATTTTTAGGCAAATCATTCTCTGTATTATGTCCAGGTGAACATAAGGATGTCGGTTCATCATTATATTTATCAGAAAAGCTACTACATGCATTAATGTTTGAGTTAAAAGGTAGCACATTCCTTGTTAAAACTGAGCACGATGGCAATTGCTTATAGGTCATAACAGTCTCTCCTTTTATAACATTAAAGGAATAATCAGTTTTACTCTCACATGTCCTGTTATTAGTGATATCACCAACAGTTGCCATATTTGTTGTACAATCATCATCTTTAATGTATTTGCCATTATTTATTTTGTCAGGACTGGATTCTAGTATAGTTGTATCATCATACCATTCTTCACAAATTGTTTGGCCTGAACATGCATTCTTTGGTACCATTTCTCCAATAACCTCTTTACTCTTTTTTTTGAAGTTCAAAGGAGCTGAGAAGTTTGTTACATCCTCAACAGTTATCTTCTGTTCTTCAACTGGGAATGCTGGACTTACGTTTAAGGGTTTTTCAATTATTTTGGGAAGCTTAGTTCTTAATTCTGCATTAGTGATAGGTATCTCCGATGCTTCAGTGTAACACATAATGCTTGTATTTTGAGAAAAATCCTTACTTAAATGTTCCTCATGCTGCTCAACTGCTGGATTTTGTTTGGCTGTTTTAATATCACTGCCAATTATTTCTTTTGGTTTTACCATTACTGAACTATATAAGTCAATTTTATCAGTGATATTCAATGGTTTCTTTTCATTCTGAGTATCACTGTCAAATTTATCTTTCCCCTTAAGTCCAGAAAACTTTGTGATACAACTCACATTAAAGTGCTTTAATGAAGAGTTCCTTGATTGTATTTCTTTTGATTCTGGCAGCATTCTTCTAGTTTTCTGGTCTTTTTGAAAGCTGGGACCTATTATATTATCCTCAGTGTCATTAGTTTGATAGATGCCAGCTTTTTGTTTTGATCTAATTTCTTCTATTGCTAACTGAAGAACCACATCTACTATTTCATCAGCCTTTTTAAACAAGAGTGTTAAGTTTTGAGATTTAATTTGCAGTTGCTTTCCTGTTTCAACATCTTTCAACGGTTCCTCAAAAAACTGGTTGTTTGATTTAGGAAATAAAGCAGCAATTGCTTGTTTATCCATTCTAGTTCCATTTTTTGAAGGAGTAGTCATGCGGCAGTTAGAATTTATCTGCCCTGAGGGAGACATTTCTTTGCTCTGCTGGGTAGCGAGAGGCATTTCTAACACTATCTTTGAAGAGTCTATAGCATCCATGTAATAGGCAACTGAAGCCAATAATGGGGGTGAATAACTGGCATCTGATATTGATTCAGAAGATAGACTATTTAATTTATCTTTAGATGACAATTTTACAGTATCTTCTTCAGAATTAATAGGAAGAGAATTAATTTTGTCTAAGACAACAGCCTCTATTGTCTCACATGCAGGAGAATAAAGATTTGAGGTATCTTTAAAAGAATTAGTAGGAATAGCAGACTTTTGAGTATATACACTGTCAAATGCAAAATCAGGAAGAGTCTCTTTTATGAGAATGGATTTAGAATCCATTGAATAAGAGCCAGTCACATATTTAGTTTCTTCAGAATGTGGCAAGATTTTATTTCCAGTGTTATCTGTGTTAATAGTATCAGGGATAATTTTGGTTTTAAAGTTGTTTCCAGATTCCAGAAAAAATTGTGACTTTAAGATAGCTTTAGAGTTTTCAGATACAGAATCAGAATAGCATATTTTACTAAAGTTTGTTTCTGCAGAATCTGCTGCAGTGGGGACTCTCTCAGATTGCAAAATATTTTTCTGTTCATCAGGCAAAGAATATGAACCCTTCAACAAATTCTGATCTTCAGAATTAGATGCAGGTTTAGCCATAATATTCAAATAAATGTTGTCTTCAAAGACGTTAGCATTACTGATCAATGCAGGTAAGAGAGGGGAAGGATTATCTGGTAGCGAGTTAGTTTTTTCAGGTTTCACAACCAGAGAACTGTGGGTCAAGCACTTGTTTTTGGAAGAAGAGATAGGAGATAGACAAGCTGTGGAGACCTCTTTATTTTCAGGAGTTTGGGCACGATTTCTTATGTTACTTAGCAATGAATTGCTTATTTTTTCAGAAATAACTGGAGTTTTAATTTCATCAATTTCTGTAGCTTTAAGAGGTGACATAACTGTGTTCCTTACATGTTTTACTTTTTCCAGTTCTAAGGGCTTATTTTTTTTCTCAAGAGGAGATGAACAAGTATCTAAGCTGATTAATGGCTGAATCAGAGTTTTATTCTTATCTCTCTTGGCAGGATGATAGCAATAGTCATTTTTACTTTCAAGCCTGTGAGGGGCATTATCTGCATCTGTTTTGAAGGAGTCCACATGTGTATTTTCAATATCTAACAAAGAAATGTTGGCACTATTTTCCTCTGTACTACTAGACAAAACTTGGTCAAGTTCCACAAAAGGCGTATAAACATTCTCTTCAATCACTTTACTAGTCCCAATCTTAGCCATTATGGAAATCCTGGAATTATTTTGTATATCTCTAAGTAATAATGGCTCAGTGGTTTCTTTATTCTCTAGGCCACTCTTGCTGCATAAGTGCAACCCAGTCCCAGTTTCTGTGGGAAGGGTGGAAATTCCTGATTTGAAAACTAATGGCAATTCTTCTCTAACTGCTGATTTATGGAGAAGCAAATGAGAATGATTTTCAGACATCCCATTTGTATTTAATTCTTCATTGCTCTTTGTTCCATTATTTACATAATCACTACAGTTATGGCTATTCATGTACAATGATGGATTAGCTGATTCTAATTTGAACTGATTGTTAGTTGAAGAATATTTATCTTCTAGCAATTGTTGATCATTATTAGCTGAATCTAGTTTGGGATAAGATGAAAACTCATTTTGTATTGCCCCTTTTGTTTCTGTGTTAGAAAAAACACAAAAATGTGTTTCTTTTTTACAGCAAACAGTGGCAGCACTGTTTGACTGTAGCTGCATTTGTATTTCTCCTAATGCTTCTTTTTTCTTTTCAACTAATCTGTTTTCTGCATTGATTCTTACAGAATCTATATTTTGGTAGCTAGAACTGGTTTGATTTGGCAACAATACTGGTGGCTCCAACAAAAGGTTCCTATTAATTTCTGATTTGTCTGAAACTGATACACTTTTCACAGACACAAGCTCTTCAATGTAGTTTTTGATAGTTTCCATTTCTGTCAACAAGGTAATTTTGTTCTTTAGTTCATTGTGTTCATTATCATTTAAGACAGTCTGAATATCTTTCTTCTGGTCCATTTCTGACAAAAGCGTGTTTTCTTGTGAACTTTGTTTGTCATCTTTAGTTTCAGGTTTTTCATTCTTTGGTAAGGATTCTGGTTCTTTTGTAGTTTCTGAGCTTAAAATATTCATGGTTTCCCTTCTTTTGCTTTCCACAGGACAACTACTAATACTGGTTCCAGTTACTTTTTCTTCTTCCAATTCTGCTTGTTTCTTAAGCAACTGCTTGATTCTTGCAGAACCTCGGTAGGTTGCATAAGTAATTGCATGTGCAATGGGCTCACTTTCTGTTTTTCTGGAATAGAAATAGCATTATTGGCATATTAGCAAATGTTCTAGACACATACAATTATGTAAACAATATTTTAAAAATGTAAAGAGCAGGACTGTGTTGCTTTTTAAATTAAAAATAAATGTTATCTATTTACAGTGTACTTACTACTCAAAATAAAGTATATTATATGGAAAGGGAATCCTATTACAACTGTAAGTAGTATAATACATTTTATAGTTATTTACTTAATAATTATAGGATTACTGAAAAGGAACCATGGACTATTAAAGTCAAATCCCTGATCTAAGCAAGAATCCTAAACAGAATATATTTTTTTTGCCAAAACTAGTGGCTAAAACTGTATCAGAAGGAGAGGGAAAATGCTAGTTTAAAACTGGGAGAGCTAAGGGTGACTTTAGGCTGCCTTGAGTATATGCTGGGTATGAGGCAAAGGCAATGTCATGAGAAAATGGCTGAAAAATATGGCTACTGGGGCATGCTTGTGCCATGGGTAGGCACAAATAAGGAAGAACCTTTAGAAAGGTCTTCTCTCCATGGGAATAATATATCTATGTTGAAACTACAACACTATGCTATCTTAAACATGAACCCCAATAGGCAATGCTATATGTGGAATGATGGCAGTTATAGAGCAAACTTCTAGAAGGTATTACCTTCAGGAAGACTGTTTTAGTTTACAAACAATCTAAAAATCCTCATATGTACCATTTTTAAAAATGTGGGGACAGAAGATTCAAAGGCTGGGTATTACTTAACATAGTGGTTTAAAACAAGAATTTACAATTAGACTTAGACACAGTTTTAAAACTTCTTTCTTTTGGAGCAGTAGGACCTGCTCAAATACAATACAGCCTACTTTCTGCTCATGTATTTTTGATTCACTGATTTTTTTTAAATATGGAGGATATATTGACTATGTGCCAATAAATTGATACTTTACAATTCACTGAAACCTGATGCACATATGAATGGATACCTCTTAGCATGCTCTCTCTCTAACATAATGTTCTATGATTTAAACTGAATGTAATGCTGCCTCCATTAAAAAGCATTGTCAAAGCAATATATTTATAGTATTTGATCTGTAATGCTAGTTTCCTACAGACAAGATATCAGTAAGAATAAATAAATGAGATCCAAGCATATGTTACATATATGACATTAAAGAAAGTTACTGACTGTGACTAGCCCTATGAAAGTAAGATCATGTGTGTATGTAGATCATGCATTAGGCTACAATTGGGGTGTACAATCAGATGACCACACTGTCACGTTAGGAATGTTATATGAATCAGGTCTAAAAAGCCTAGAAAAACTGATATTCTGTCATGGATTATATATAATTTTGTTATAATCTCAGCCTTAAATTCATTTTATAGAACTACATGTGAGTATAGACTAAAAGAACCTAAAATAAATACAAATTCTCTTGCACTTAATAACCTACATAATGCTAATGGAAACTATAATAATGTAGCAAGGAAAGATTATTCAGATGCCATCCTTATTCTTTGGTGGAAAAAGGAAAGCAGCTTATTTTTTCCAGTAGTTCCATCTGGTACTTCAGTGCTCCTGAGATATTTGGCAAACACTTTAATCCTTGTAACAGCCATCACTGAAATAAAATATCTAACCTTTGAGAAAGAGGAGGATAATGCCAAATAACATGGTGTTGAGCTATTTGATTTTATGTTTACAGAAATTAATTATTGAGTTCACAGCTAATAATCTACTATATTTTAAGATATATTTTAAAAAATGAAATGGTAATAGGGAAAGTTTAGCTCAAACTAAGCTCCTAAGACCTTTATTTCTGTTGTAACTATGAGGGAGTGAAGTTGGGATTGCTGTCTGCGCTTGGGAAAAGTAGCTGCAGTCAGGCAGAAACGCTTCTTATCCCATTTCCCTCATGCATTCATACATTCATTCACAACTTTACTCACAAGCATCAAAGCCTGCGTTCTAACTGCCTGTAATAACTGAGCCACATACTGGTGTGCTGATGTCCAGAGGAAGCCTCTCCCCACCCAGGTCCTTAGCTTACAAAACCAAATGTTAAGACAGAGTGGGTAGGGATGTAGGAGAAAAGGAGATAGGCAAATGGCTTGCAGATGGGGAAGTGGAAGCGATATTTGGAGACTGACAGCTATTACAAGCAGGCAAGATATATATATAATCAACTGCCAGGACCATAAGCTACAGTGAGCAGCATATCCTGGTGGGAGTCCTGCTTGGAGCTTTGCTGGGAGCATGGTAGCAACTTGGAGGAACAACCACACTGAGGTAGCACCTGAACCCAACTAGTTTAAGAACTTTGGAGAAAGGCAAAGGTTGTATGCCACTTTACAGACTTTGGGACTTTTGCTCGCTAAGTATTAAAGGACTGAATATTAAATATATATTTACATGGCAACATCACCTTGCAAGTCCTAGAAGGGTGGAGAGCAATAGTCTATTGTTGGGGAAGGTGCATGCTGCAATAAAACATTGTATACAGATTTGCTACGCTGTGGTATGTCCAGTCCTTGGAAAGTAAAGAACCCTCACAGTAACATATCAAATTGTAATTGCCTTTTTTTACTCAAATCAGCAGTACACAGAACTAAAAGGAACTATTGAAACTCCTGTAAAGTACATTTCTCTGCTTAAGACAAGCTGAGAAATGAGCATATACTGAGCAGATACTGTTTTTTTAAAAGATTTTTTATCCCATCTTTATTTTTATAAATAACTCAAGGCGGTGAACATACCTAATACTCCGTCCTCCTCCTATTTTCCCCACCACAACAAACCTGTGAGGTGAGTTGGGCTAAGAAACAGAGACTGGTCCAAAGTCACCCAGCCGGCTTTCATGCCTAAGGCAGGACTAGAACTCACAGTCTCCTGGTTTCTAGCCTGGTGCCTTAACCATCAGACCAAACTGGCTCTCCAGATTTTATTTCCTAGAACTTTTTATACTTAGGTACAGCTAAATATTTGTTCTTGTTTATGTGTTGAGCTACAGTTCTAGTCTATTGAAATTGTTTCTGAGAAATCTTTTTTAAAGATAAAAGTTGATTTAGGCATGTGAAACAAATTAAATTACTTTTCTCTCTCTAGCTTTGTACTCTGTTATCTTTGGATTCTTTTTGGCTTGGCTTATCCATAGTTCCATGAAAGCATGATCAGATCTTGTCTGGAAGGAAACGTGCAAGATTCACAGAAAGTAATATCCACTTTCTTTTTCACTCCCAATTATAGCTAGTATTGATGAACAAGGCAGAAATTGTGCACATAGGTATATCTGTATGCCTGAATATGTTATGCACATGCTATTTGTACACAAATAGGAACTTACACATTTTATAACAGCAGTATTGGCATCATACTAATATTGTATTATAATACAAACCTTTCCAAATTCCAAATTATAATACAAACCTTTCACTTATAAGCTGTACATTTTTCAAACATATGCTCAACTTTAAAAAAACAAAAACCAGTTCTGAGTAGCAGGATATTTGGGAGCAGTTGTATGGCAGAAATTGAAACTGGGTTAGGAGTGAAAACTAGGCATCAAACACAATTAAGCTGCATTATGACAGCTCTTAGTAAAAACACTATTAACATGGCACATAAAAGCCTGGTCACAAAGAAAATTTTGCCCATAATGACTGATTCATATTCTGTACAAATATTGAATATTTTTATGACATCCTACATCCAGTTATTGTTAACTGACTTTACACAAATGCATAAAGAATAAGTTGACATAAAAAAATGCAATGATAAATTTCTGAGTGATATACTTTATTGAATACATACTGTTGAAAAACAGTGTCATTACTGTCCAAGACAAAAAGCCATTTCAACGCTCGAAAATGTCTTTTATATACACAGGCAGTCCTCGGTTAACAATGACTCATTCAGCGACTGTTTGAGGTTACGACGCACTGAATGAGTGGTACTTACAATTGGTCCTTGAAGTTCTGGCCATCCCAGAACCCTGTGGTCCTGTGATCATGATCTGGGTGCTTGGCAACCAGCTTGTCAAGCCCACCTCAAGAACAATGGTGAAACAGTCCAGTTGAGTAAAGTTCCTTTATTTGGTTATACCTTATA